TTAGTGACTGAAATGGAATTATCGAAGAATTGCACTTTCCTCCCCATCTCGAAATTATACATATTCTGCTTGAATTTCGAAAAGAATAAAACAGCAAAACTGAGCAGACGAATATTAAATAGCCAAGTTTTTCTATAAGCTTCAAACAACAGTAATGAAAATCGTATTGAACAATTAAAATAAAATGTTACATATCTGTTGTAACAAACTGTAAACTATATAAGTTGAAGGAAATAAATTCAGTGATGACTCTTTCTGACTTAAAAAAAAAAAAAAAAAAATCCTGAGGTCTACAATTTTGTAGTGTAATTTTCTCACTTCGGCGTACGAACACTGCTTGCAACTATATTAAATAATTTCCAGTTGTGTCTTAAAGAAATATTAAATTTTGCAGAATACGTTTTATCGCTATAACAATGCCTGTCTTTTTACAGACAATTAGGATCTTTTTCGCTGTAGGACAACATGCGCCAAACAGTTTTCTATAGAGAGATATATGCGCTTTAATTTATACTACGGCTGCCTACTGGCCACCGTTACATTGTTGTTGCTGTTTCAAATGGCGGAACTTTTACAATTTAGTGTATTGGCTCGAAATGACCAATCCCATCGGACATGCAGCCTTCTCATCACCGAGAACATTGATTGCCCAAAATGCAATACAAAAGACGACCGATTTTAATCTGTGAGAATGGAACTCGAACGGAATGGGAATGTTCCGTTCAAGTTTTGCCCTCCCGGAGAGCGAATTTGAGAGTCTCGTCTCCTACCACCAAACCTCTTAAAAGGTCCTTTAGCTCACCATTTATTTGCACCCATGCTGCATAGGTACTATCCACTTATCCAAGCCTTGTCCGGGATTCGAGCCCGGACCCAATGATACAGCAACCAACAGCGCTAACCACTCTACCGATCAGGATGGAGCCACCGTGAAATTAAATGTGCTATTGTTCTGTCTTATACCGACGTTTTCAACGTAAGTACTATCAATACAATGCTTATAAAGGGTGCCTTTCTATTTTGTTATTTTTTGTGTATTAAATTAACTAACCAGAAGATGTTTTGTTTAGAAAATGTTACCACAATCGATATATGCTGATTAACTAAAGTACGTTTTTTTACTTGAAGTATCATATTAGAACATATACCTTTCCAGAGAAAATTATTTGAAGCATTTTGTTTTATAATGTAAAGATTCGACGATTTCTATACAGTTCACTACATAGCGTAATGCATTTAGCTTTCTTTTCCAATCAAATAATTTACTATTATAAGGATACAAATATGAAGTTATATATTGATTTATATTAATCGGTAATTATGTATGTGTACTGCATCATCAGAAAGTGAAATGGCCATCAGTTTCCCAGAAAAGTCTTCCATGAAGGCATCACTCTTCAGGGAAACAGCTACCTCGGCTTTGTCATAAATGTCAATTTATCAACTTTTTATTTCTTTATAACTTGTTTTCCCTTCAGTAGATCTTTTTTAATAATTGATCTTTGGCAATTTAGTGTTATTCGGCCATCATTCATCATTTCTATATATATAATTTAATTCTTTATTATCCAACCCGTTGCTGTAGAATAATCAGGAATTAGTCTTTAAATAAACAAATAATGTTTTGATCAAAAACTACTCTCATAAAACATCGTTCATTTTTTCTGCAGTGAAGAGATTTATTAAAGGATACCAATCGTGAAAATCTAATATCAGTCAACGGCACTTCTATGAGGCTACTTGCAGCGCTTCATCGATAGCTGGATAAATCATCAAATAATCGATCAAAAACGTATACGTAAGAGACATGAAGCTCGTTGCAACTCCAAAATAACATGTCAGTAATAAATATAAAATGCTGTTTTACATATTTTTTTGGAAAAGTTACGCTTATTATAAAAGTGCATTGTTTGTTTTGAAAAATTAATCATCAATCCAGTGAGAACAGGCAAATATACAAAGTATGGTATTTTCTATTACATTACAACATACGTAAATAAATCATTATTATTTCAGGTTACGTTTGTCACGTCATTTTATCTAACAGTTAATACGGCATATTTTATACGGTAGCTTTCATAGAGTGCACGTGAAATAACTAAATCTATTAAAATGTACAATACACCATAATATTTCATCCAAGACCTGCATACTTTAACAATGCAATCTGAACTACTCTCCTTTACACTGATGATCAGTAAACAAAATTCCATCATCCTCATACGAGGGCAGTTAAAACATATGGAAAATTTATCTTTTGATTATTAAACCAAGAAATACTGCTAACATATTTTGAAATATATTTTCTAAACTTATGAGAAATTCTCTTTTGATTATTAAATCGAGAAATATTGTTAACATTCTTTGAAAATTTTTCTATTTTTATTAACATATGTAAGCTAACGTCAGCGCTGCCACAACCACGTGCCATAATCTTTGATCCAGTTTTTACATACTTTAAATATGACATACTTATATGAGAAATATTGATTATGATTAAAAAATAAAATAATATAAATTTGTAATTCAATTTTTCTGATTCCGTAGTTTAAATTGTGAAGATGCAGGTTTAAATCACCTCCCATTTAGTACGCTAAAGTTCGAAAAATCGAGTAAATTTCTTTTTTCTTTAATAATTATTATTTTAAAATTTTAAAGTTGCATTTACGTTTTAAGTATATTTTAATTAAGTTTTTGAGATTAAAAACATGCGGTGTATATAATCTGTGAATATCAAAATTCCATATTAATTATGACATACATTTTTGTCAGAGTATTAACAAATAAGTATACTATTTTCTTCCTCCTACCGGCATGCCTTCGTGGTGTAATGGTTAGCACATTCAGCGCGTATTCGAGAGGTCTAGATTCGATTCCCGGCCGGGCATTGCTCATTTCTCGCTTCTCCTGCATAAAATAACCTAATATCTCTACAACGGTAATTAAAATGATAATAAATACGCATTCAAAATTTATAACTAACTATATTTAACTACAAAAACTATTCCGTATGATTACAACAAAATATTAAGTTTGCAGACTTAATATCGCCGGCAGTACACACATAAAATTCTCAGCCAATGCTGCAGGTTCTGACACTCGCTTACTGTTTTGATGGGGGGACGAGTTATGATAACAACATGATGATGATTATTAATTATGATTACTATTAATTTCGTTTTGGCGTTTTGCGTTGGTTCACTATAAATGTCGGTTAACTTTTCAAACTGCTGCCACCAAATATTAGAGCCCTGTGTCATATTTAAAGAAATTAAATAATGAAGTAGCTGCATAAATGTATGTATGTTTCTCGCACTGTGATAAAACAACGGTATGTATAGCCATCAAATTTCGACTTGTGTAATCTTCCATTGAATATGGGTATCTGGAAGCCTGAATTTGGAATTTGAAATTTGTTTTATTATCGATTTCATATTTTGGTAACACTTCAACGAATTTTTGTTTAACAAACTCAACGATTTCAAAGCGAGGAATGGCTGTACGGGAAAAAAAAAAAAAAAAAAAATCATCTCCAGCGCAACGAGACTGTAATCGGAAATTCTACAAATATGCTCATGCGATATTGCTATTGAATTGAATTTTATTGCTTAAGTGCGAAGAACATGATATTTAATAAATAAAGGTAACACAAAAAAATGTTTAAAAAAATGCCCCTTTGCTTTGCGCGTAACGTAAAATCTGAAAGCTTTCAGGTTTTTTTTAATCTCTCTCGTTTAGCCATAATGTAAAGAGTCAAAAAATATGACAGAAAAGGCAATAAGTGAAAAAAAAAAGCTGCAGATGCCTTACTTTGGCTGGGTGTCGACGATATAATTGTTAATTATCAATGAGACGCATTCAATAAAGAATTAATTTATACATATAAAAAACAAAATCGCATCTACTATTAAAAATGTTTAAACAAAAAACACGAAAGACATAATCAAAGTGCGTATTTTCAATAAATTTCCAGCAGAGTATTATAAAATATTTGTATTTATTTATTTATTTCAAATGAGAGTTCTACTGATATCCGGAACATTTTCTTCTCTATTTCCCTGTTAAATTATGCAGAACAAATAAAAATTTAAAAGATACTATGCACATAAAAACATGCGCTCAGACTAAATTTTAAATTCATATTTAGTAACAGAGAATTCAGAAACTTATAAATAATTCAGTTATCTCTATGGTAACGCGCATACAAACGATCATTTTCCTCTTTCCTCCATCGCCGATAAAAAGGCTAACCAATTGCTATTCGCCAAAATGTTAAAAAAGATAAATAATGAAGCAAATCAAACACAGCAGAAAGTTTGTTTATTAGTTTCCTTTCGAAACGTCCGATACTGCAGGCGCATTAGAATTCTGCTGTCAGTTATTTTGTTAATTATTTTTATTTCACAATGTTTGTAATTAATACTAGAATATTTGCAACTGTTCTATTATCAGAACCGGATCCAGAAATGTACATATGAACGTGTTCACGAATGTGTGTATATACATAAGCACATACATGCACACATACGCGTATACATTCATACATTTCCGAATCCAGTCTCGTAACAGAAAAGTACCGAATATTTTTTTTTTTTTTCTATTTTTCCGATAGCATTATCCTTTTTTTATTATCATGACACAAAGCAAATATAATTTAACTTCATAAATATATCTTTAGCGCGGGAAAAAAAGCAACATCGCAGCTTTTTCGATGCACATAAAAACAAACCTGAATGAGCATGAGCATGTCAATCACTCAACTGTCAATGAACATTTGTCAGCTGATTTTTGTATACCAAATACTCCTTATATTATATATAAAAACTCGTTATTGTCAGGAAATTTTTTAAAAACTCGTTATTGTCAGGAAATTTTTTAATCATATATAAACTCCAAATTTCGTTTATATTTTCGCTTATTTTAAGCGAAAATTTTCATCACGTGTTTATAACAATTCCATAACAAAGAACAGAAAAATCAACGTAAATATGACAACTTACCAACTGCGAAACGTACAGCCTGCCGCGAAATAATATCCATTTTCACAGCTATGAACACGTTCACTGCCATCGTTACGATGACACTATCTGAGGGTCATATTAATTCAGAAAATTAGGCGCGTCAAATGCGCGTGGAAGCGTAAACGAGCTGTGCAAAACACAAATTGAACTTCACAAAATCACACTTTTCAACTGATTCGGCCACTTGGCGGAATGCAACAATGCTGAGCTACCGAGCGATCAAAGAAACCGCGAACCGGAACTACATTTTTCTCCTTGCGCGTTGGAATATAGTTCTATATATAGTTAGAGTTCAGGAGTTTAAAATTGAATATATATTTTTAAATATTTGATAAGAGTTTATAAATTGTAGATTTCTATAGATTATATGGTATTTATATCTTTTAGTCGCTTCTGAAATTCTGTGTATTAATCCGCCATGATGATCTCTTCTGGGTAGAAAAGCTCTCTTATTGCAACTATTCATCGCTCTTCTGGCAACAAAAGCGCGGATTATTGAACTATATATTTTGAAGTTCGGAGTTAAGAATTTTACGCTGAATTTTTTTCTCGGCCAAAATTTTAAGCATTTAGTGTCAATAATTTGAATAAATAAAAATTTTTTAAAAAAAATATGCTTGCTACCAGTAAATTTCAGATTACAAATTAACATAAAAAAAATTTAGCAGTAAAATTCCTTAAATAAAAATTAAAGAAAATTTAAGAATCAAAACATTGAAAAGAAATTGCAGGCTGATCTTGATATGCAAATTTATGATGATCATCCGAAAAAAATTTAAGCAAAGCAATTATGAAAGGCCAATTATGAAAATCAGTTTTACAGAAATGAAAGATACACAACATAAAAATATATATATGGACTGTCAAAACAGTAAGGCCAAAGGGAAGGGGTAAAACTAATATAATATTACTTCCTCCTAACTTAATGCCAAGTCGATAGTCGTGCAAAGAAAAAAATGTAATTATTCATGACGTAGCTGTGTATTTATTTCACTGAATCGCTTGCGCAACAGACATTTCACTCAGATGGCAATACTTTCTATTTAGCAAGACAAGAAAATTGCGAATCGTCTCAAAGGGTTCCTTCGTTCTATAATAATAATAGTAGTTAATAGTATAATAATAGAAGTTCGGTAATAATAATAATAATAATAATACAGTAATAAAATAAGACCTAAGCTTCATTTATTAACACTGAAAAGAAAACTGCTTTGATCGACGTTTCACTTTGGTGGTTCGGCAAAATGCATGATCATCATTCCAGCGGAATCACCGAAGAAAAAAACCATGGAAATTCGTAGCTGGGGGAGAGGAACGTTGCCGAAGATCATGTCCAGGAGAATTGGTCCAATTCCTACGAAGCCTCCTCAATAGTGTTCTAGGCATACTTGGTCGAAAGGCTTATCAATCCTTTGAAGGGCACCGGTATATTATATACTGGTTGTTTGTCAATTTTTTAACCTCGGAAAAAATTCTAATTTCTCTACACCAAAAGCTATAATCGTAAGTTTCTAGTGTTTCCTTTCGATTCTAAATGGCAGCACCACCCTATGAATGCTCAATATTTTTCAGTTATGAAATTAATATACCTCGTTCCAGGGTATCATGTTTGAAGATTGATAAATTCTATTGGAGGGAAAGAAAAAATTCAAAAATCTGTAAATATATAACGTACATATGCTGAACCTTTTATATTTACTGCATTTCAATCAAAACTGATAATTAAAAGAAGATTATGCATGCGTTTTAAATACCGGTATATAATATATACCGGCGCCCCTACTGAGGGTACCTTGCCAATAGATGGCAGCACCAGGCTTCTCCTTCTCTACTGTGTGAGAAAACAGCATTTCTTTACATTGTAATAGTTTATGATGTAATAATTTGTTTACGATTAATTTACAAGTTGTTTAGGATTCAGTATTATGTTCATGAAGGAATGGGGAGTTTACTGACCCTGCACTAGGACTGAATGCAAGTATATTTGTTTCTTTTTATTCTTTTTTTACTCTGCGCGAGTTTCATTCTTCTCTATTTAGCTAAAATTTTAACTTCAGCACTTCACCCTTTCCCAAGAGAAAGACTTCTAACTAACTAAGATCTAATTCAAAATTGCGTCTGGGGTCAAAATTTTACCAAGGAGGTTAGAATAGAAGGAGGGAAGGTTCAACTCAAACGGTGAAGCTTGGCGGCCATGTTCATGTTATCGCTGTGACTTGTGCAAGGAAGTCTGTAATTGCAATATTTTTTTCTTTTTTTTGAAGCATGTCAGCTTGTGTTGTAGTATATGATGCACAAACAGATTTTCGCAAAAGATTCCTGGGATTATTTTTCATGCATAAGTATTGATTTTCTCTTTTTTATGTAATTTGATAACTTAGGTAAAAAATATCACAATGCCATGTTGTTTCCTTTCCAGATGTGAAAAAAAGAACTTAATCAAAATATGTTAAATACATTTTAATGTTTTTGTGTATAGCTGGCATCTTCGTTACTTAACATACAATGATGTATGCTAGGATTTAAACGTTTTTGAACGTTTTAGGTAATTCGTTTGATAGTTTTCAATGAAAAGTAAGACACCAATTGTTACTATTTTTATGAATTTAAAGGTGTTAAATAAAGTAATGCTTCTTTATGTATTCATTATTATTCATTTTTAAAGTTTTGTGAACTGTTAAGAATATAATTTGTGCATTTGATCAAGATAAACTTACTTTTCTGTTGTTAAATTTTTTTGCATAATTTACAAATTTGTGTGCAGTATAGCGATAAAAAAGTAGTAAATATTTACACAACTGAACATGTGGAAAGATGTATCCAAAAATATAGGTATATTTCTCTAATTTAGCTTAATTTAATTCAAGGCAATTTCTTTGAGATTCAAAAATATGAAACGCGCATAAACTGAAATCACTGAATTCACATAAATCTGTTTTATTTTATTAATATTTGTTTTTCTTGTTGTTATAAGGTTGTTAGTTGTGAAAAGAGTCTCAAACTTTCATTTTAAAAAATGCAACCTGTGACTATTTTTTAGATAATTATCTGATTTTAATTTCAGGTTAAATATTTTAAATTATTCTTTAATAAATTACATATTGTATAAATCAGAAATATCACTTCTTAAGGAAAAACTGGAAAGTGTACACCCAACAGGTTGCTAATAAAACCTAACAAATTTCTATTTTTAAAGGCTTTAATGTTATGCGCATGCATTTAGATTTCGAACTATTTTCTTAATGATTTTCGTACGTAGTAAATTACGGATATCATCTTTAACTTGAAACAAAAACTAACAATAGCGAAGTATTTTCATTATAAATTTTACATATTTTTAGTGGAAAATATATGCACGGAACAGCTTAAAAACACGTATCTTTCACTGCCGTAATGCAATGTTTTGAAGTTACAAACATGGACGCCGCTTGTTCCGTGGAGTTTCATTCCCCGATAGTGGAGGAAACTGCGAACCCTCCCTCCTTATATTCTAACCTTCTTGAATTTTACACAATTTTAGGGGTTAAATGTGACATGTTAGCCCCCAAAAGACACCCGTGGCTTCGTGTTTTCGAAAATCCTAGAATCCAGCGAAAATGAAAGGAGGTGATTGACAACTGATTTGTCATTCGGGATTCACGCCTTCTTTCCTTTGTGTGGTATGATAAGATCACACAAAGAGAAAGCTCACTCAAAAATACGGGAAATGGAAGTGCACTGAAGGTCATCTCTTAGTGTAATCACAAAAACTGCTGATTTGAAAGCATGCTTTTATTCTTATCGCCTTTGTTAATTTTAGATGAAAGACTAGGGAACGCAAGAGAAATTTAAGGTTAGGTTACAAGCAGGCTGTTTTTGAAATAAATTTCACAGTTGGTGAAATGAAGGAAAATATTTCTAAGGCCCGTTTTAGGTGCAAACTAGAATTTATCCAAATGTTAAAAAGGAGCCCCTGGGAGGCCAAAGGGATTGAAAATCGAAATAAGGGCGTTGACGTGTATAAAATAATAAAGTTGTTTAACGGCGTTTCTTCCTGAACCAAAAGATATATTACAACCTATATTTACAAAAAATAGAAAAAGGGGCATTTACGGTCCTCGATAATCTAAAGTGTGTGTGCGTGGGGGGGGGGGATTCTTCGTATCATAGCACGAACCATGGTTTTTTTACATATTATCTAAAGCATAAAATAGGACTTCAAAAATGCAACATACTTTCTCATCTGAGTCCTAGTGTTTCATTTTTTAATTTTTAAAATTTTTCTCCTTGTAATATTATACTAGTTCCGTTACAGCATGATATGATTTACGCATGCAGTGTCATATTTACTATTTTTTTCATAAAATAATAATATTGAATTTAAATCAAGTTCAAAAGCATTTTAACCATATTTTACATAAGTATGTTCAGCCGGGTTGCATCATCAAAGTGCATAAAAACATAAATTTTATTTTTTTAATTTTAAATTTTTACCGAAATTTTAAAAGTTTTTGTCTTCAAGACTTGCATAACTATATTCAAGCACCCATCTCTATAGATGCACATCAAAAGTATGCAAAATTAATTTGAAAATCAAAAATTAACAATTGACAGCTACCTGGAAAAAAAAAAATGTCTTAGAGGGGCGCCGGTATAAAATATATACCGGCTCTCAAAATTTAGCATTTCGCTCTAGATTTTTTTTTTAAGTCTCAATTTTGTGTCTTTAGGGTCCATAAGTTATAGTTCATGCAAAATTTTACCACAATTTAAATTATTTTATATACCGCCCCTCAAAGGGTTAAATAGTGGCTTTATTCCAAATACTTAGCTGATCCCAAATAATAGGTTTCTTTGAATTGTTATACTCTTCTGATAAATCTGAGAAAAAATGAGTACACGAATAAGGAAACGTAATTATTATTCTGGGATTTTTGCGAAAGAAACAAGCATAATTAAGAAAAACTAAAGCAAAATTACCTAGATTTAGACTGCCCAAAAGGTGTCCCTGCAAGCTATATCAGGCCCTGTTTCAATAAATTATGCAACCTATATACATATATATATAATTTAAAGTAAAGTATAAAACAAAACGAAAAAGACCTATTTTGGTCAAAAATTATATATATATATATATATATATAAGGGAAACGAATCAAGAAGAATTGTGAAAGATGTTGCCGCTCTAAAATTTAATATAAAACACTTTTTTCCCTTGTC